ACGGTTCGCGCCCGCCCGCCGCCGCCAGCGCGGGAGGAGGATGAGGGAGATGAAGCAGCGCAGGAAGAAGGAGCGCACGTGGGCCGAGGCCGCCCGCCTGGTGAGGGCCCGAACGGCGCGCGGGGCTTCGGCAGGCCGCGGGGGGGCGGAGGGGCCCGTCCCGGGCCGTGTGTGTGTGCGCGCGCGCGTATGTATGTATGTATGTATGTGTGTGTGTATGTATGTATGTATGAGTGTGTGTGTGTATGGGGGGTTTCTCGGCGGAGGGCCTGGCCCTTCTCCCCGCGCCGTGCGGCCATGGCGGAGCTCCGGGCCGGGCCTCATCGCCCCGGCCCTGACGGGATGCGGTCGCGCGCCCGGCCCCGCGTTGTGCTCGGGAGCGCGCGCGGAACGGTGAGCTGCCCGGAGACGGAATGGAAAGGAGAGGGAAAGAAAAGGAAAGCAAGCTTTGTGTCCTGCTGGCTGAGCGCCGGGCTGCGAGCTGACGGCGTGTGAGGTTTATAGGGCTGTGGGTTTATAGGGCTGCGGGCCGTCCTGTTTGGCTTCGTGCTGCTCAGAGATGGTGACTGCAAGGCTCGGAGCCAAGGACTGGGCAGGAAAGGAGCACCCGGCCCTGCTGCTCTTGGGGTCTGTACTGAGGTAGCCGTGGTGCTCCTCCTGTGTGAGGTTCGTTTGGGTGGCTGAGCCCAGGGGAAGCCCTGCTGTGTGGACATCTCTTGTCCTGCAGCTCACGTCCCCTTGGGTGTGAAAAATGATCGTATTTTTGGCCCTCGTGACTTTGGCTTGACAAACCAGAGAGGGCAGAAGTTGGGTGCTGTGGAGCTGCGCTGTATCTCTATGGGGTCCCAGTTCTGTGGGGCTGTGTGCAAGCATTGTGCCCGGGCTGCAGGCAGCACAGGGCTGTGTGGCACCAAATCCCTCCTCATCCTGAAGTCCTGAGCTCCAATGGGTGAAAACCTCAGTGTGTGGGGCTGCCCCGAGCACTGTGCTCAGTGGGTGGCCGAGCTGCTGTTTCCTGATGCACATCTTTGCCCCTGTGAAGCAGTGAAGATCCCCTCCCAGGCATGGTTTCTCTCACCTGCCCTCTGGGCCTGCACTCTGGACACTAGAATGGAGATGTCAGGCCCTTAGCAGCATCACAGAGCAACTGAAGGACCAGAAATAGAACCATCTCCTGCTAGATTATCCACTTAGAGAGACCTGCAGTTGCATAGCTGCACTCCCAGCTTGCAGGACTGATTGTAAATCCACTAAAAATAGATCTTTATTTAACGTTAGGCTTACAAATGCTCCCTGTCAAAATGCTTTTAATTTTCCTTTCTGACGTGCTCTGCTGGGTTTCATATTCCTCTCCATGTTTCTGACAATCGCAGGTAAAAGGCTTTTTAGTGTTGCTGCTCCTACAGAGCTAACGTCATGCATACCCATAAAACAAACCTTTAGAGATGAGTTGGGCACCTGGAATCGTGGCATCGTTTGATGGGCGCTGTCAGAGCCGGGTGCCCTCACCACTCATGGTTCAGCCTCCATCACTGGGCATGTAGGCTCCTCAGCTCTGTGTTACAAATGGTGGAGGAAGGCGTCTCCTTGGGGCAGGGAATAGCTGGTGTTGCTGGAGATCCTGTTGGAATCCCCATCAATCAGGCAGGTAGGGGTGGTGCTGCTGGCTGGAGGTGTGCAAGGCTCCCCACTAGTAGTATATAGTTGTTGAGTGGAAATTGTTCCCAAGAGAGTGCAGATTCTTTTATTTTTATGTAAACGCTCATTTGTGCTCAGTTTTAGGCTGTGCTGTGTCTGACACTTGAGGTAGACTTTGTCAGCTGTGAAGGATTCCCTTGTTTTCCAAGACAGGATTGTTCTCCTATCAGTGTCTGTCCCATTGGGGTGATGCAGAGCACTGGGGAGTGAGGAGGGTGCAGAGATGGTGACCTACAGAGGCTCTGTGATCAGTGGAGGGAGGCGTGCTGGAGCTGCACTGACAAGGAATTAAAAGTGTTTACACTTAGAATTTGGCTTATTGCTTTCTTTGATCTTTCCTTCAAACTCTGTGTGTTTGTTGCATGTGATCTCAGGCTATGCAGTTCTTTCCCAGTAGCTTACTGACGCCCGTTCTTGTCATCTTCAAACACCTGAAGATTTCATGCAGGGTGGCTATGGTTTAAATGATTCCTTTATCAGAAAACACGGTTGAAGCGCAGAGCTGATGGGCACGGGGTTGGGTTTCTCTCTGACCGAGGGATGGGGTGGAAATGCAGGCAGACCATATGAGCAGAGATGTCAGTCCTCTTGGAACCCTCGAGGTTCTGCCAGTACTGTGGAGCACTCATTTCCACAGGCTTTAAAAGTACACCTATCTATCAGCCTGTCTAATTCCTCATGTGTAAGTTGCAGTTCTGTTCTTCATATGATACATGGAAGGACGAGCTGTTATCTGTTTCATTGCCTTTTTTAGTGTCTGACTTCACTCATTTTCCTTCGAAGGCATGCAGCTTTTTTTTTTAAGCACCTACCCATCATTTTTTCTGTGTCCTTAATCATTGTTGTCTTTTCCTGAACTCTGTCCTTCCCAACACTTACCCACAGCACTCCCCTTGATAAGATGAGCTGAATGCAGTAAGCCAAGGGAGGAATTACACAGTTGCCCAGTAATATTTTTATTGCCAGAAAAATGCTGGATTCCTTACTGGGAGGTAGGGAGGCATATGGTTGGGAGAACATTTTACATCATTAAAGGTCCCTAACTACTATGCTATACAGTTCTGAAGGCTGTTTGGTAGCAGATTGGTGTTGCATGAAAGTTCTGGCTTTCATGTTGTGGAGTCGAGGCTTTTGTCATGATTACTATGAAGTACCTGACATTTTTAGCACCTGTCTTCTGTAGGTAAATAAAGCTCTCCAAGGTGTATTTTAGGCTCTGATCCCTGGCGTGTTGAGCAGTTCTGTGAAGGTAGATGCAAGCCTGTGATGACACTTGGTATTTCTGTCTCTTCAGGTGCTGGAAAACTACTCGGATGCTCCAATGACCCCAAAGCAGATTCTGCAGGTCATAGAGGCTGAAGGACTGAAGGAAATGAGGTTAGTATTGATGATCACATGTGAAACCCAGCATGTGCGTGGTGCAGGCTGCATAGAAGGCCTGAGCTGTTCCGTGTGACTCTGCCTCATCCCCAGCCTGCTTTCCTGCTTCCTTTTTTTCCCCTTTCCAGCATGGTAATTTCAGTTGACAGTACAGTTACTTGTAATACTTTTTTTTTAATTGGATTTTCTTTTTGTAACCTATGGAGTTCCCTTCATCCATCTGCTGTGACACAAATGCCCGTTGCAGATCAGCCTCCCGCACTGATTCACGCACTGATTTACTCCCCCTGCATATTTCTCTCAGAAGTAGCTCCTGGTGCTTTCTACTGCTAGACTCCAGTTTGGTAATAGTTTCAGTTCTGTCTCCTCTGATTCTTCATTTCTAGAGCAGACATTACGTTTTAGGAGACTCAGAAGGATCTATGTATCTGTGTATTTTCCAGTACTCAGCTGGCACTTCTAGTACTTCTGAGCACTGTGAAAGCACTGCTTACACTGCTGTGGCTCTTGACACTGTACAGATATGTCCTCTTCAGTTGCTGCTTCACTGGGGCTGCTGAACGCTCACCCTGTGGCTGGGCTCTTCACCACACACATCTCCAGTGCTTTGGTATTGCAGCTCTCAGAAGAATCCAGCCAGTGCAAGCTGCCATGTGGCTTCATTTTAATGGATACTCCGTGCCTTTCTGGATCAGTCCTCCACCTTACACAGGTAGCTGAAGATCTCTGTGCTGCTCCAGGTTGCATCAGGAACGTCCTGAAGCAGCAGTTGCTTTGGGCTTCTCCCAGTTGTGCCAAGTGACCTCTCACGTTAGGGAGCTGCAAACCAAACCTTGCATTGTGCAGAGCCCCGCAAGCTGCATCGCTCATCTGGCAGTCACTGGGTTTCCTTTGGGATGTCTGCTTTTCCTTCCTGTTGTTAACTCTCTGCTGTAAGAAAAGCCTGTTTTCTTCCCAGCATAATTGTTCACAGGACACAGGCAGCAATCCTGTCTGCTAAACATGCAGCAGGTTTTCCTGCTACTTGAATAAAAGCCCTTCCTGAAAATGCATTTCCTGAAGGAAACGGCTTAGCGACTCGGGAGGGGGTTTTCCTTTTGAATCAGTATTGAGGCTGTGCTGTCCTGCTCTGGGGGTGACCTCAGCCAGTTGGATGGGCCTGGTTCTTAGCAGCCCTATGGACCCTGTGCTAAGCTGGGATGTCAGCACCCAGCAGCAGAGCCAAAATCTTCCTCCTGGAAAAGTTCTAGCTATTTGTTTTTCCCTCCTTCTGGGAAAAAAAAAAAAAAAAAAAGAAACATGTCTGTGGTTTTTCTGTTGCTTTGTTTTTGGTGTTTTTTTGCCATTTCAAGAAAATGTGCTCTGTGGCTGGCTGGCTTACTTGAAACATTCTGTGAAGTACTGAAGGGAAAGCACTGTCTGACAGGCCAGAAGGCTGGGAAATTTTTTTCATGGTATCTAAAAATGATGGAGGGTGATTTTTGTCTGCTGCTGAGGCTTGTGAGTAAACGCCCAAAACCCAAATGCAACGCAGAGTGAAAACAGAAATGGTTCTGAACTCAGTTTTCAATATGAGAATGATTTTCTTTGATTTCTTTTTGTCTCCATCCAGTTTTCAGTTTCACTTTTAATAACAGTGAAATCAGGACTGCTTTAATGTCTCTTCCAAGTAGCTTTCTGCATGCCCCTGTGTGACTTACTGGAAAACATGAGGCTGCATGGCACGGAAGTTCCATTGCTGTGAGCGTAGGATGGCTGCTTTGGTCACAAATGGCAAAACTGGGGCACTGTGAGGGCTTGCCAAATGGGTTCCTCAGACCTTTGACATCTAACTCTGCCAGTGCAGAGTCAAATCAGGAAAGACATCCCAGAAATACGTATGCGTACCATTTTTGCTGTCTCTGTTCTTGTTTTGCTGCTGCTGACTGAATCTGGTTTTTAGTAGAATCAATCCTGGTCTGAAAATTACAAGCGGAGTAACGGAGGAAATGTGTAATGAAAGAAGTAACTAAAAATGACCAAGAGTGACTTCAAAATGAGCCTAACGTTTCCTGTGTTGTGCAGATTGCTTCACTGTGATGCGCTGAGGCAAATGGACAGGTCAGAGTGGGAAACAGTGATGCTATTCTGACTGCAGTGCCTGTCCCGTGAAGTTAATGAGGCTCATCTTTGTTCCCCTCCGTCAGCAGCTGATGCTGATTGAAGCAGATCTTTCATTTTGGGCCGTTTCTGGAAATGATCCCTTTTGCACCCTCCTGTTTTTCAGTGGCACCTCTCCCCTGGCCTGCCTCAACGCCATGCTCCATTCCAATTCCAGGGGAGGCGATGGGCTCTTCTACAAACTGCCTGGACGGATCAGCCTGTTCACCCTGAAGGTAAATACAGAGTTTGTGCTCTGGGTTGAAGGCTGAGCTGCGAGCTCTGCTTGTTGTGTGTAGCTGAGTGCTAAAGTGTCACTGAGCATCGCATGGGGCTGAGTGTGCTGCTGTGAGATCATTGTGTGAAAGTGTCTCTGGAATTCGTTATTTCATCATAGCTCTTGTACTTTGCTGCTGTGTTCATCCACATGTGGTACAGTCCTTTCAACCTGCCTGTTATTTCATGAATTGCACCAGAAGATAAATGCTTATTCCAGTTTTCTGTTTTCAACTCAGGTGTTGTTTACCAAAATAGCCCTGTTTCACTCATCCAAGAGCCACAAAGGAACGTGGCCAACCAGTAACTTGTGTTGGTCTGAGGGCTTACAGCTACAAGTAAAATCTTGATAGCAAAATGTATTTTCCTTCAGAGTTCTCTCTGAAATGTTTTATTTTAGTCTTTTGTCGCAGTAATCTTCACTGTTGGAAATGCCTCAGGCTTTTCATTGGCGTTCTTTTGTACTGTTGGATACCCTGATAAATATCAGCTTTATAGACCACTAATATCTTGCAGCTCTTTTACTGCCATCGGAAAATGTTGTTAAACTGTCACACTTTAGAAAAAGCAGAAGGACTTGAAATGGTTTTGGTTACACAGGTAGTAAATGCATCTCCCAGGCTTGCTGTCTTAGTAGCTGGCTTCTTGAATGATGCTCTTTAGTAAGAATGAGATATTGAGATATTTCTCTTCCTTAGAAACTGCGTGCTTGATTCACAAGAGTGATATAAAGTTACTGATGTGTGCTTTAGTTATATGTGATGGAAATGTCCTCAAAGTGTGCTCATGGCTTACGTGACTTCTGCTCCACTAGAAGCCTACATTTCTTTCTGCATCAAGGGGATTAAAACAGGGAAGAAATCAAAATAAAACCTGTATCTGTGAAACCAACAGCTCCTGTTGGTTTAAGCAGTAGGGGCTGGGAGGAGGATTGCAGCCACCTGAGTTTTGTTTGTCTATTTAGAAGGATGCCCTGCAGTGGTCTCGGAACCTGTCTGTGCCAGAAGGGGATGAACTGGAGGATACAGCAGATGCAGAAAGCTGCGAGTCCAACGAAACAAGCACTGTGAGTGGTGACAATGATGGTAAGTGTCTAATAACATTCATCTTAAGCTGCAAGTATCCACTTCTGTTTTTGGCTGAGGGCTCGTCTGTTTCAGTGTCCCTTGATGAAACCTCCTCCAACGCCTCCTGTTCCACCGAATCTCAGAGCAAGGGACCCTCTACTGCCAGGGAGAGCAACAGAACAGCCTCACAGGTAGGAGAAAGGACAGCTTTCCATGCTGTGTGACAGGGACCGGGTGTGCACAGGTGCCTCAGGGAGAGTGGTGGGGCTGTGTGCTTGGCTGAGGAGTTTCTAGAAATTGAAGGGTTGAAGTTCTGAATTCTCTGCTATTCATATAGTTAGTGACTGATACTTGAAGCTAGGTGGTTCTTTAACTGGGAAATACGTTGCTTGGAAGGTTATTTTGCCTTCCCATCGTGTCACTGTGCCTTTGTTTTCTTCTTGTTTTCTTTTTGGACCACAGACAACCAAACAAAAGAGAAAGACAGGTGTCATGTTGCCACGTGTTGTCTTAACGCCACTGAAAGTAAATGGGGCACACATGGAGTCTGCATCTGGTGAGCATTGCTTTTGTCTTGATGATTCTTATAAATATGTGGATAGCTTTTGATCAGTGGTCCCTAAACAGAAAATTTGCCTGGGGACTTCTTTAATGTTTGCTGAGAATGCATGTGGCTGATTTGGGCTACTGGGGGTGTGTTTATCTCAGTCAGCCAGTAACCTGTAAGAATCGAACTGTTTTTATTAGCAGATAATTCTGAAGGGCTAAAAACTACTCTGCAAGTTGGTTTTCTGTTCTTTGCATATTCCTGTAAAATTCTGTTGCTTTTAGGCTTCACAGGAAGGCATGCTGATGGGGAGAGCAGCAGCACATCCAGCAGCAGCAGCAGCTCTTTGGCTCTGTGCAGTGCCACCTTGCGCAGCAGAACAGAAATAAACAGGGATCCTCCACAGCTGCTCAGAGGAATCCGAAAGCCCACAGCTGGTGAGTGCTTCTGTTACAGTCAGGCCATAAAAGCCAGCAGTGTTGACATCTCTGTATTTCTGAGTAAAGAAAACCCTTTCTGTAGAAGGCACATGATGATCTTAAGGCTCGTGGTCTGGATCTTTCTCTCCAAACTTAGTGAACCAGTTGTTTAAGAGTTTCCTGCTGTGGAAAACGGTATTGAGAACTGTGTCTGTATGTGACAGCAGTGTGACTCGTGTCAAAGTTCCAGTTGCATGCTTAGTATTAATTGGCATGGTTGAGAAAGCCTTTCTTCATGCTTGAATACGACAGTCTTTACTTACTCCTTTTGCTGCAGTAGTTTACAGTGTGGTCTGTTGTGGTGTCTTCTTTGCACGTAACGCTGATGCATTTTTATACAATAATGCTTCATCTTCTTTGCCTGCCCTTAAATTACAGGGCAAATGAAACGAAACAGGGGTGAGGATATTGACTTTGAAACGCCTGGTTCCATTCTTGTCAACACAAACCTGCGGGCTCTGATAAACTCCAGGACCTTTAATGCACTCCCATCGCACTTCCAGCAGCAGCTGCTTTACCTCCTTCCAGAAGTCGATAGGCAGGTAGGACGGTGCAGCACGTGGTTGTTTTCTGTTCACCCTATTGGCTCTTTCTGGCAGGACAGCTGAAGCACTGTTTTCTTTGTGCTGTTTTTTGTCCCCTAAGGTTGGGGCTGATGGGCTGATGCGTCTCAGTGGCAGCGCTCTGAATAATGAATTCTTCACCCATGCTGCTCAGAGCTGGAGGGAACGCCTGGCTGACGGTGAGTTGCTTTGCTTTCTCTGGTGCTTGCAGAAAAGGTGCTTGTTTTAAGGGCTTTCTTCTTTCCCAGTTAGTGAGTGGGAATGTAGTCCGACTTGGCAGTATATGGGGCTGTCTTGCCCCCAGCTCATCTTTATTTTCCTTTAAAATCATGGATTTCATATTCTCTAGATGCCATGGGATATTCAGAACAAAACAGTGGGGGTGTAAAGTAGTGCCAGACTTACCTTTTCTTGAATAGTGACCTCCAAGTGGTAAAATACAGTGTTTAATTTCCAGATTCACTTCAGGCTTTGTGACTATTGCATTTGAATAGTTGCAGGTGGCATGTGGATCCATAGTGGAGCAGAAAGCAGAGAATAAGAAAAACATGCATCCTTATACATAACTTCTGTTCTACACTGTTAAAAGAGATGGTTTTTACAAAATCAGTTTTGCTTGGAACTGAATTTCGGTATCTTCAATCCCTGTAGGTGAATTCACACATGAAATGCAAGTTCGAATTCGGCAGGAGATGGAGAAGGAGAAGAGAGTGGAGCAGTGGAAGGAGAAGTTCTTTGAGGACTACTATGGACAAAAGTAAGGAATTGTGCCTGGTCTGTCCTTTTTATGCAGGTGGCAGTGTGTGGTTCTGCTTGTGGATACATGAGAAGATGGTTCCTTAGGGGGAATTGGCTTGGTCAGAGCAGAATTTCATAGGCCATCTGTTTTGTCCTCCAGACAAGTTAATATGATTTGTTTGCCATCACGTATCTTTATGTTTTGCCTATTTCCCTTACTCCCTGTGACAATAATGTGGGATCGCAGATACAGAGATTATCTCATTGCAGGCTGACTTAATGAGGTTTTGATGAGTCTCTGCTTTGTAATCTGCATGTTACTATGTATAGTGGTGACGGTACGGCTATGAATAATAGATGAGGTGCTTGGGATGAGCTTTAGATCTTAACTAGTTTCTGCGTTGGCCTTACAGGTTGGGCTTGACCCAAGAAGAATCCCAGGAGCAGAATTTGGTGCAAGAAGATGCCGAGAACAGGACAGCTCTGTCTGTGAAAGGAGAAAGCAGGCTGCCACGCGGTCCCTCCACGCGGCAGAGGGATGGGCACTTCAAGAAGCGCTCCAGGGCCGACCTGCGATGCAGAGCCAGGAGGAGCCTGTACAAATTGCGTGATTCTGAGCAAAAAGAGGCTTCCAAAGACACTGCTTCTGTGGGACCGGATTCCTCTCTTCATAAAGACACAAAGTCTGAGGTGGATCAGAAGAAAGATGACCTGACAAGTGCTTCTGCTGCAGTGCTGAAGCCAGAGAACTCAGAATCGCATCTCTCTCCAGAGACTTCCAAACTGCACAGTAAATCGGAAGATCTGTCATTGGCAGCTGCAAACAGGATTCCCTGTTTGTCCCAGGAGAGCCCTGCTCGGGAACCAAAGGACCAGAAGAGGAAATGCTTTGAGGAGGCTGCCTCTGCCTCCTTCCCCGAAAAGAAGCCCCGGCTTGAAGATCGTCAGTCCTTTCGTAACACAATTGAAAGTGTTCACTCAGAAAAGCCACAACCTACTAAAGAGGAGCCAAAAGTCCCACCCATCCGGGTAGGAAAGAGAATTATAGCTGCCTGCTATCTCAGGGCTCTCACGCTTAGTAGCATCGAAACATTATTAAAATGTCAAGTGTTGTCATGTTAGCAGAAGTGGAAGGGTTTCATTGGCAGAGCTGGCTGAATACCTCTGATTGCCCCAGTTTACTGTCTTGTTTAGAAGGGCAAAGAATGGAAAATCATTCCAAGGTCTTTGTGCAAGAGCTCAGCATAACCTTGACTTACTGTGTTAATTTTAATTTCTGTGGATGCAGAAATCATTCTTCCTGAAACCAGCTGACTCGTTGCGACAGAGACCTTCAAATCAAATTCTTTGTCCTGTGTCATTTCCCCGTTCCTTTCTTTTGGGGGCAGAAAAGTGTTCCTTCAGTCTTACACTACTTCAACTGGAGGCATCCATCTTGCTAGCTTCAGAGCAGTCACCCTGATGTAAAGGAGACCATTTTGATTTATGAAGGTCTGAAGGCAAAGCACCTATTTCATGTTTGTCTGCTGGCTCTGGCGAGGCAGCGTTCATAGCGAGTGAGCTTTACATCCCGCATGACAGAGCACATAAGCAGGGGTTACGGGAACCGTGCCGCTGCTCTGCCAAAACTTGTGTTTAAGTTGGAATTTTAACTCCTTAACGAAACATTGCCACAAGAAGACGTTCAGAAAATGCATTTTGCTGTCTGAAAATGGTCGAGCGTTACAACCGAGTGTTTTCTCTTTTTTCTTTCAGATTCAACTTTCACGTATTAAACCACCCTGGGTGGTTAAAGGTCAGCCAGCTTACCAGATATGCCCCAGGATCATCCCCAACACGGAGCCCTCCGCCCGGGGCAGGAGCGGGGCCAGAACTCTCGCAGACATTAAGGCCCGTGCTCTGCAGGCCCGAGCCCAGCGAGAAGCTGCTGCCGCCGCCATTGGTGGTGGGGGCGGCCCCGGCGGAGGGAGAAACTCTGAGGGGGGTGGAGGAGAACGCAGCAGCCATCGCAGACGCAGAAGATCAAAGAGAGCTCGGCGAAAGCGCTCGTCAGATCTACAGCGAACACAACTACTCTCGGCTCTCCGTCTGAACGGAGAGAAGGCCAGCTCTGAGGCGGCCGCGCAGGCAGCCAGCACAAATTCCTTTGCCTCCTCGAAACAAGACTCCTTTTCTTCGAAGGCTGAGGGAAGCGCTGTTCTGCAGTGCGCCGCGGGCGCTGGCTCAGGGGAAGCTCAGTCCGGCGATGGCTCACCTGGAGGGCAGCGCTGTGATGCTCTGATGGTGTCGGCATTGGACAGCACGGCTTTGGAGAGGCCACAGGAGAGCCCCGAGCAGCTCTTCTGCGATGCCAGGACTGAATCCTCATCACGTGCTGCGTCGCAGGAGGGGCAGAGCACAGAGGTGACACACGTGGTTCCTCCCGCAGTTGATCTGTCGTGTGCCCAGGCGCAGGGAGCTGAGATGGGTCCTGCAGGAGGCAGGGTTGTGTCAGAACTCAGAGATGTTGGTATTCCCGCAGTACATCCTTCTGATGTAAAGGAGAATTCCACCGGTCATCCTGCTCTTCTGCCAGAATTGCCATCAGGTGGTAAAGAATGCCACGAGCAGAACATGATATCGAGATTTAGATTTAATGGCTCTGAAACAACGTTAGTGGAACAGTGCTTGAAAAACTATAGTGGTGACTCCAAAATAGTGACTGCTGGAGCACAGGAAGGAGTGCCTGCACTGTGTAACTTCACACACCTGCAGGCAGGGAGAGAGAGTGATGGCAAACTGAGCAATGAGGAACAGAATGCGGAATCTCTGTTGAAATCCTCTTTATGTGATGGCTTTGTTTCTCAGAGTAGGATAGATACCTCTGAAAAACTGAGGGAGAGGTGCCCTGGAACAGAATCAGAAGACGAGTGCCAGCCGTTGAGGGAGACTGGAGAGTTCAAGGCAAATGGAGATGATGAAGTACAGAGTACACACAGTGAATCAACAGATACTGCTTCGGATTTTGAAGCTGACGTGGTTGATGAGAATGTGGAGATGGAGATGTGTTACAGAAACCTCAGCTGTAGGGAGGCGGCTAGGAAGGGCTCCTTCTGTCAGAGCAGCACTGAGGAATGTGATAAAATTAGTTCAAAATCATCTCTGGAAGCAGGTGATCCGCCCTGCGGTGTGGACTTCTCTTCAGTGGCCACAGTGAGCACTGCAGCTCCACCTCAGAGGTGGGGACTGCATGCACCATTGCCCCCAAAGCCCGAGAGGCCATCAGGTTCTGCTCAGGCCATGTCCTCTGATGCCAGCAGCCCTTTGGTGAAGCAGCTGCTTAAGGGGAACCGTCTGCTGGAAGAGGTTCTCCCCGGGTCTCACGCCAACATTGAGGTGGAAGGCGCGCAGCCGCCTCTCGACAAGCAGTCAGAAAGCCTCCCCGTGCCGATGGAGAGAGGTGGCAATTGCTATTTTGGTAAAGAATCTTGCCCAGATGTGCAGATAAAGACGAGTGCCCTAACCAGGAGTGATGAGTTCCACCCAGTGAGATCTTCTGTAGATCCCCAGGAGAAGACACGTGGGTCAGGAGCAGCATTGCCTGGAGTGGAGGGTATGGAGAATCAACCTGTTCCAGAAAAACATTCCAAAATTGGCTTAACCTTAAGCTGCCAAGACCAACTGGCAAATGTGGCAAGTGCCTCTCAGAAGCCTGAAGACATGAGCCCTCGGGAAAGAACGTTTTCTTCCTGTAGCTTTGAAGAGCAAAAAGAATTGGCTAAGGTCCATCGGGTGCCACAGCATAACCCATTAACAAATGTCATCGCAAAGCAAAGTCCTGAGAAGCCGAACCTGCCTCCAGAGCCTCCGTTTTTATCTCCAAATGTAGATTCTCTTGGCCCAAATCAGATGGGGAATGCATCTGTCAATCAAAATTATGTTGGAGTTCAAGGCAAAAAGCTCTTCGGTTCTGGTTTTCCTTGCAACCCCAGCGTTAGGCTGCATCACTCAAGGGCTTCAGATCAGGTGTCAGCCATGGGAGCCTTGGCCCCGAGCAAACAGATTTCTGTGACCAAAAGCTGTGCGTCTGCAGAAGGAATGCCAGCTGCAAGGGAAGAGTGGACTTCGAAGCAGCACGGGAACACCCTGGGAGGAACAAAAAGTGAGAACGTGTTGGCGTGTGGCAGCCCAACCAAGAGCAGTGGGGAGAGGCAGAAGGATGCAGCACCAAACCCTGCGGAGCTGAGGGAGCATTCGCAGAGCGTTCCTGTGGCGATGGACTTGCCGTTCCTGAAGCTTTCAAGGGAAGCAGGAAAAAGACACAATCACCCTTTGGAGCCTTCCTCCATACCCTCTCAGTTCAATATCAAGCAAGCGTTTTATGGGAAGCTTTCTAAGCTGCAGCTGAATTCCACCAGCTTTAATTATTCATCCAGCGCTCCAGCTTTTCCCAGAAGCCTCGCTGGAAGCATGATGCAGCTCAGCCACAAAGCGAACTTTGCTGCAAACCACAACACGTCCCTTTCCGTGCAGATGTTTGCCGACAGCAGCAGCGTTGAAGAAATATCCTTCAAGTGTTCGTGCAGCCTTAAAGCCATGATCATGTGTAAAGGCTGCGGGGCGTTTTGTCACGATGACTGTATAGGACCCTCTAAGCTCTGTGTATTGTGCCTTGTGGTGAGATAATAAATTATGGCCATGGGACAGGTTGTATATTCAGTGTGCGTATTTTGATAACGACTGATCCTAAACCTGTACACAGGATACGGTTCTGTTTATAGTAGAAATGCTATTATACTTCGTTTCGGTGAGGAAAGTTGACTCGCCTCCCCACTGAAATCGACAGTGCAAAACCCTTCCTTGCTCACGATGACACTCCGATTTCTGTGGGCTGTGCCCCACCGGAGCCAATCCTTCTGCTTTGTGCTATCGTGGACGTGCTGGCTGTGCCCTGGGATGTGTGTGAAGCTGACACCTGGCTGGGAGGCAGTTTGCTGTGGCATCCGTGGACCCTCCGGAGAGGAGACCTCTACATCCAAAGGAACTGGAACAGGGTGCGTTCTATTTCAGGGCTGCTCTAGGTTAGCCCCTACAGTCTTCCACTCTCCCCTTCTGCCATCTCCGAGGTCGGTTGTGTGCTGAGCACAGCAGTGCAGGCAGGACGCAGGTGCCTCCGCGTGGTCTCCGGTGCCAAGGCTGGACGCGGTGAGCAGCGAAACGCTCTGCGGTTGGAGCTGCGAGAGGAAGAATAGGCAGCACGTGGCAAGGGAAAACGGCTCCTGCCTGCAGGATGTGCGGGGCTTTGGGTTGCCCAGCTGAACTCTGGCACCAGCTGAAGGCTGAGGCTGCTGCAGCCTCCTTGTAGCACGCGTCCGTGCAGGAAGGCTCTGAGAAGCGCAGTGCGTGGCCAGCAGCCGTCTGTGCATTGCAGCCCTGCGGTGAGGACCTGACCGTGACAGCATCTGACCACTTGCAAGTGTCTAGCTGTGCATCTGTGTGACGATCATCTTAACATTTAAAGCAGTGTTTTTTCATTATTATTTTTTTTTTTAATATATATTTTCATTCTTGGATGTATAAAGTGAATTATTTGGCTCCTGTAAGTATCCTCTATGCATCTGTTTGATCATGTATTTATATGTTGTACACAGTACTGGCCAACTCTGTAAATGGATGTAATGTACATAGTACATAAAGGGTTCTTTTTTCCTTGGATTTTTCGGGCTCTCCAGCAGTAGTGCATTAAAGTGGTGGTAGTTGTTAATCTGCATCTGTAGTCAGAGCAGCTGTGTTCTGTCTCGCCCAAGGTGAGGCTCTGCCCGCCGTGCCCAGGGCTCCGTGCTTCACTCCTGGACCTCGTGCAGCTGCTGCTGTTGCTGTGTCTCCCGGTGGTGCACGAAGGTGGATGTCCTCACACCTCTGGTGGCTGACAGCAGAACAGCTCCTCTTCCTCCGGAGCAACTCCTGAGCGCGAATTGCTTCAGTGGGAGCAGAACTCAGACGTTCCTTAAGAAGACAGTAGAAGGAATAGGATTTTTTTAGTACTTTTTTTCTGCTTGTACCTTTTCTAGCTCTCTCCTACCTCCCTTGACTGTGCACTTTTTTTTTTTTTTTTCTTTTTTTTTTTTTTTATTATTTTTATTTTCTAATGGAAACGCGACCCTGAGGGCTGCCCCAGGTTTGGCCTCTGCAGGGCTCATCCTTCACACACCTGCAGGGAGAGGGGCAACCGCCTGGGCTCGGAGCGGAGGAGCGCGAACCAAAGAGAGCAGCGCGGTGGGCTCTGCTGCTGGGGGCCCTGGGCTGCGCCGAGCCGCCTGGTGTACGTCCCTTGTGTTGGAACAATAAACACTCTCTACAAGCTGCGTCTGTGCTTGCAGTGCTCCTTTCCTCAAATCGCTCTCTGTGGCGACGTCGCTTTTTCTTTCCTCTTTTTTGAAGCGGGAGCTTGGCTCAGGGGACGGGGAAGGGGCGCTGTTTGTTGTCTCAGCTTCACCCCGTCGTTTTCTTTGTACCCTTGCAGACAACCAGAGGCCGTGCGCCCACCCCGGGGAGGCGATGCTGCGAAGCTCAGAGCGGTGCAGGCACTGCTGAGCCCACAGGGGCCATCCCTGAGCAGAGCTGCTCCGTGCCCGGCTCTGAAACATTTGCAAAAGCTTGACGACGACATCAGTTACACCGAGTTGTTTTTAATTCGCTACCAATCAATTTATTGCAATAGTTTTTATTTTTTTTTTCCAGGCAGGAAACGCTTTGGAAAGGAATAATGCAAATGGTGATGTTCTGTGTCTCAGTCCTGGCCTCGGTGCGTGGATGTGCCGTGTGTGGTGAGCTCACGTGTCGGGGTTTTGGGGCTGCAAGGAAGGAAGCGCACGGCTGCACAGCGCCTGCCCTGGGTGCTGCCTCACCATTCATGCTGAACTGATGCTCTGCTGCCTGCTAGGGGTCTGCAAACACCACTCCAGGTCTTTGCAATCACCAAGCAGGGTCGTTGCTTAGGTGAGCTCCGATGCTGTTAAATAATTGGAAGTCTGGGCTGTGTTATGGGAACCCCGGGCCGGGCCTCGTGTGTGTGCCGTGAAACCTCAGCTGTGTGTGTGTGTGAATGGCAGTCACTGCATGAGGGCCTCCTGCTGCAGCCAGGGACAGGGCAGCTCTGGAGGTTCTACCTGCGTAGTGCTTGGAGAAAGGCGTTTTGGGGGTGCAAAGGTTTGTTGTACTCAGTGAATAAAGCTGATAATGAAAAATCAGGAGATGGAGAGCTTTCCCCAAACCTTGATGAAAGCTTCATAGTTTCCCAACGAAACAAAAACAGAAATAAAACCAGACGTCACAAAATGAATTTTGCCAGCAGAGAAGTTGAGGTCTGCGCTGCTCCCCGTGTGCCAGCGCTGCTCTGTTCCCCATGGGCAGCACAGCCTCCATGGCAGCTCTCTGCAGTGGCTTTGGCCCTTTTCTCTCTTTTCCAAAGACCCCAATTCGAGGCTGTTGGGAGCTGAGCTCCCTGGGGTGAGAGCGGAGCAGAGAGCCCTTCTGTTATACAGTGTTTATTGAGCAAATTCAGTCTTATATATGATATACAGATTCCAAAGGAAAAAAAAAAAAAAAAAAGGATTCCACATACGTATGAAATCAGTGCATTTAGCAGTAATACCATGGAGATAACAGCTCGATTAACAGCTCATTGGTCTTCGTTAAGTGAGGGGAACAGGGAGTGGGCCTGTGCTAATCATTCCACAAACAGAACAGAATTAAGTTGCATCACATATATAATAGACACACGTTCTAAGAATTAAAATATTAAGCCACATTTACTGGAAAAATCCACAGTATATAACACAAATAACTCTTATCGAGCTCATTGAGGAGGAAGTGCTCATCTGCTTAAGAGCCACACGAAGTTGCATAGGTGCCTATCTGCAAAAATATCATTTTGAAACGAACCCATTGATTAAGCAATAAAGTGTCACCTTAGGAGCTGGATGAAGTGCCGAATGCGTTCTCACTGCCCCTCTGAAGGCGCTGCCATCCCCCAGCCCTGGGCAGCGCTGCCATCCCACCCCATCCCACATCCTGGGCGCTGAGCTCCAGCTCTGCCCACTGCTGTTCTCCCGTTCTGGATGTGATTCTGGCTCTCCTCGTGTTTTTGGGGGGCAGCTTCACGCCCGGGCCTGGAGGGAATGGCGAAGCGTCAGCGCTGCCCTTGTGCCCGCTTGGAGCTCTGCTCGGCTGCAGCTTCACATCGATTCCCATTTCAAATCACAGCCAATCTTTGCGTCGGCCGCTGGCAAAGCCTCCAGCAGCTGGAGGGGGTGTTTGGGGCAGGGAGGTGTGGGTGAGGTGTGACTGTGGCTTGGTCAAGCAGACGAGCGGGCGAGGGCCGGTTCCTCCCCAACGGCGGTCGCGCGGAACACACAGGGGCCGGGAGTTCTGTACATGTAAACAGTACACTTTCACTGAGTCCAAAATTAGGAGCAAAAATACAAAGGTTCACATTGGTCTTAGGTAGATACAGGCGAAAAAACTGAGCCGGACAGCTCCGAAACAACCGAACGAAAGTTCCTAAAGCACCACTAAATTATATAAAAAATCAGACCATGGACGGATTGTAGTTGGTATTCCGGTGAAGTACTATGCTACCTTGTAAAAAGTCTTACAAAAAATTACAAATCAAAAGTATATCAACCCTCTGAGTTCAAAGCAGCATTTGACGTGGACTGGTACTGATCCGACCGCGGGTCGGGAGGTCTGAGTGCCACCAACCCGGAGTGCTCCCATGGAGAGACCCTGCACGGGAACGGCCCCTGCGGGCAGCTGGGAGTGACCCAAAAGGGAGAGACGACAGGGATCTCTTTACTCCATCAGCGATGAGTTTGTGTTAAATAAACACAGCACGCGGCCCAGCGCCAGCACGGGGCAGTGGGACCTGCACAGAGCTTGTGCCGAAGGGACTAAAGGGAAAAAAGAAAGAAAAACAAAGAAAACCCACAAAAAAAACCACCATAAATCCCTGACAGAAATCTGTAGTCAATCCCGTTTGTTTCATCGCTTGTCTGGGATGCGGCTGTCAGCGGGGCTGTGCGTCTGTACCGTGCAGCCCTGAGTTACAGCATCCTTAGGGCAGGGGGGGGGCTGCTCAGTGTCCTTCCTACGCAACCGTGGGGCCTCCGCCGCGTTCTGCAGCAGCTTAGAAAAGAGCTACGAAACTTCAATCCACGCTAAGACAAAGTCGAGGGCGGTCTGCTCGAAACAGCTACAGCTCTGCGTAAATCAAAGCCAAAGGAATGGATGCGGGTGTGTTGGTGAGGCCCTGGGCACCCTCGTGCAGCACGGCGGGACGCGGCGGCTGCGCGCTCTGCGGCACAGCAGGGGCAGCAACGCGGGAGCACGTCGGAAAGAGAGAAATTCTGGGACAGCGATTGTCTCTGCCTCTCCTTCTTTAACAATAAGACTTGCACAAATGGCCGTGGGTTACATATTTCGTAAAAGGTTTTGTTACTTCGTGGTATTCACACAAAAATAAATATTTACATAAATTCCAAGGATGGGAGGGATGCGAACGGAGCGGGCTGGCAGTGCGTGGGGGGAGCGCGAGCCGGGGATGGGGACGGGTCCCACTGTGCCCCGGAGCCACCCCGATGGCACAGAGCTGCGTGGGCTCCATCTGCACCGAGGGACCGAGTCCCCATCCTCCGAATATTACCGGAACTGTCAGGTTTGGGGAACAGAGCAGTCAACGCAAGGGTTCGTCCCTTCTGTGCTGGGCCAGGCAAAAGCCTGTCCTCGCGTTGGTGGCTTTTCCTGCACTGAAACTAAAGGCTGGGGGTTGTTTTTCTTCCAGTGTTTGGGCGTTCGGTTGGTTCAGAAGGCTGCACCGTGCTGCCCGGCTCTGCTGGCGGGGAACCAGCCTTCACCACAACCTGCGGTGCTGGGGGCTCCTGCAGCAGGGGCGAGGGCAGCAGCCTTCGTCCTCAGGCTCAAAGTGGCCAAAAAAGGGCAAAATGAAACAGCCGGCTCCAAAGAGAGCGCCTATCTCTGCTTAACGCACACGAGATGTGGTTCTGTGCTATCGAATGGGTCTGGTGTGACAATTCCTGCCCTCGAGGAGGGCCGCGCCAGCACTGGGGAGGAGTGGCACCGCGGCGCCGAGCGCGTCCCTGGTTTAGCAGCACTGGTTGTAGGTATTGCACTGAGCAAACGAAGTGCATCGTTGGGGAGGGGGCGGAACGGTGACCGGACTGCATCAATTCCACACTTTGGGAATTGTGGGCTTGTTCCAGGACTGCGGGTGGGGAATGGGTGGGGGTGGGGGGCTGCTGCCGAATGCACTGCACACGTGATGCGACGGTGCTGCGCTGCTGCCCCAGGGCCGCTCAGCTGAGCCGTCGGGCAGCACTGGGCACTGCGCTGCTGCTCTGTGCTCCTGGGCACCATCCACATCCACTGCGCTGACAGTCACAGAGCCAAGGGCGGGGGAGGGTCCTGGAAAAAGCCCACAATGGAGTGTGAGGTAGAATGCGGATGGTGAACGCAAGACAGTGTTTCTCGGGTGTTTCCTTCCTTCTTATCTGCAATGACTTAGCAAGTGCGAGACATCCTCTTAGCATGAGGTCTGCTGGGCGTCCGAGTCTCTGCAGGACGTGGAGCCCCGCTGCTGCTGCGGATGGGGCCGGGTGGTGGCAAACGCACGCCCTGCAGGATGGGGGCTGCCCAGAGAAACAGGCAGAGCTGCCTGGGAATTAGTAGTGTTGTGATATGGAATGTGTTATCTCACAGGAACAAATTCCTTCCGATCAGACAGACACAAAACTGGCAATCTGTACAAACTCAAAAGAATCCATTTTCAGAAAAATAAATTACTAAGGGGAGAAGAGGGTCCATTTCTCAATAAATATGTGATTCGGCTCACCTAAGACTTGGAAATTATCTGGGGACGGGATTCTAACATTTGGGTCCATCAAGGTCATCCTAAATACATCTGCAGCCCCAAACCTCCCCAGGCTCCCTTCTGCCCTCGAGGTCCCGCATCCTTCCAAGCCGCACGTTTGGCTTCTGGTACGGGTCAGGAACGTGGCCTCGTGCCTGAAGTCCCAGGTGCTCGGAGTGTAAAAGAAAACAGCTCTGTTGGGTTCCACCTTCTACAACTACGCGGAGCTGCCGCTTCACGGGAGGACGGTGGCGGTCCTGAGCGGGACACCGCTGGGAGCCAATTGCTAGCAGGTGTAAATTGTCTTCCTGACAGAGGAGCGCCGCAGCCACGAGGAGTCAGTTCTGCTGTAAAATGAGGTTTTCCAGTTCATCTGCAGAGCGGAGCAGAAACGCTGCGGACTCCCGGTAGCCGGCGATGAGCTGCCGCACGGCGCTGATCTCTGTGGGGCTGAGCTGGGCAGCCTGCATCCCCCTGCTGGTGCTGTTGGACTGGGCCGTGCTGGAGGCCCCACCCTTCATGCTGAGGTCAGTCGGACCTGCGAGGGAAACGAGAGCCCGTCAGTGAGAGGCAGTCCTGCAAAACTTCGGGTCACCCCATGGGTGGGAGCTGCCACCGTGCTCAGACCTGCACGGGGCTGGGTGAGTGCTTGGGAGAAGGAAAGAAAACTGGGAAGCAGAGGTTTAAAGATCCATTAGAAAGAAGCAAAGAGGCTGACGTCTGCTGCAAGCAGGGCCTGTTGGCTCACACCGGGGCTCTCCCTGCAGCTATTTGCTGTCTCATGTCATGGGAACTGCACTCGGTGCCCACACCTGGTAAGAGAAGGGCGGTGGGGCCAGGGCTGGGCTCGGGGGGACCAAGAACTGCAGCCACAAGGATTAGGTCCCAGCAGCTGGAGGCCAGGGTGGGATCTTTATTCAGGGTTAAGAAGCATTAGGAAGGGATGATAAGAGTTAATCCCAGACAGGCATCTCTCAGAACTCCGGAAATCACATCCCTTCAAATCCGCGCTCCGTCAGGGAGGGCAGGAGCAGGAAGATGGGGTGGGCAAAGGCAGCGGGCCGGGAAGGAGTGGCCACTGGGGCTCACAGTGAGCAGAGCCACGGGGCTGCTTTGCCCCATTCTGTTCCCCTCCAGTAGCAGCCGGCACCGCGCTGCCTCCCTGTGTGCCCTGCTCCAGCCCACACTGCTCCATGCTGCTCACTTGCTTGCAGCCTCACGTGCCTCCTGCAGCTCCCTCCTGCAGCATCCATCTTGTTTGCCGTGCAGCCATGCTCCTGAGCTGCAGCCAGAGCTGTGCCCACAGCCTGCACTGTCCCCATCCCTGTCCCCAAGAACAGGCGACGAAGGCTGGGGAAGGGACAGCTCATACCAGCAATGAGATCAGGGTGGCGATAGGCACCGCTCTGTTAATCATTAATGAATGGCTGGTACAGATTCCCTTTTTTTCTAAGTGACACTCCTTTCCTCCACCATTTCCACCTAGACTGTCCTTTCAAGTTCAGTTCAACAATTAACTGCTTGCTAATGATGCAAGCTGGATGGTGGGGCAGAGACCTCCGTTGGTGGCACAGGGGCGTTTCAGAGAGGCTCTACAGGAGTGGGGCTCCTTTGGGGCCAGCCCCTGCCTTGCCCTATTGCCAGGGCTGGGTACTGCCAGGGCTGCTCACCATTACTGTGGTTCCCGGTCTGGAGCGGCGCAGGTGGCTGCAGGCTGCCTCCCAGGGACCCATAGCCACGGTAGCTGTAGTTGAGGCTTCCATTGATGTAGACGGGGTCTTGAGAGTAGGACGAAGCTGGCAGTGAATAGGAGGAGTGGGTGATGGCTGTGGAGTCTCTGGAGTGCTGCTTGTCCAGGGCGATCGGTTCGTCCTATACAAGAAGCACAGAGGTTGGCTGCAGAGAGTCTGATTGCCTGCAGCAGCAAGAGACCACCTCCCCCCTGCTCACAGTGCTATCCCACACGCTACAGCCCCAGGCACGGTACCTGCGAGGTCTGGTAGATCTCCAGCCGCATCCTCTTGGCTGCTTTCCGCGTCTCGCTCTCGCAGGCAGCAGCCAGGATGTTCTCAGCCATGGCCGAGGTGAGGTGCGGCGGCGTGGGCCTGGTCTGCAGGGACACAAGGGAGAGCCGAGCTCAGGCCCCAGTGCTGTTTGAGGGCAAAGCACAAGAGGGCACGGCACAGCCACGCTCACAGCACGGCGCAGCCACTCACCATCTCCATGCCGTTCTTCTTCATGCGGCGGCAGGACTTGAGGTACGTGCGGATGCGTTTGCGAGCTCGCTCCTGGAACTCGGGGAACTGCCGGCTGCAGGACTCGATGATGGCCTGGATCTTCTCTTTGGGCTGCTTGGAGATGGGAACCATCCGATCCAGGTTCTCGTCCACGAAAAGGCGCACAAACATCTGCAGGGGAGACGAGAGGTGGGAACACCAAACCCACCAAACCCACAAGGAGGGCAAACTCGTTGCCCCGTGGCGCCGTCCTTACATTGAAGGCCTTTAGCCGCTCCGGGTCCATCCCTTCCGAGTCATTTATCTTATCGTTGTCCTCGTGGTCATCGTGATCATCGTCATCCTCGTCAGCCGTGGGGGCTCTGCCAACTGTCAGGTCCTCGGGGCAGCCACTGACCTCGGTCTTGATGGAGTCGTAGCTGCCGGAGCTGTATGGCGGGGACTGCAAGGGGGCAGGGTTTCAGCAGACAGCCTCAACCTTCCCCCAGCTGCAGCTCAAACCTTTCCCTCTGGCTCGCTGCCACCATCCCCATTCCTGACGTCCCATCCTCCCGCCACAGCCCAGGCAGAGGGACTCGTGGCCATGCCAGCCCCAGCATCACGCACACCCCAGTGCCTTCACTCCCCGCGCCGTGCCCCCAGCCCCTTACCTCTGCTGTGGTCTTCACCGCGTACTTCACCCTGCTGCGCAGCCCGTCGGTGCTGCAGCTGTCCGACTGGTAGGAAGGGGTGACGTGGGCAGGTGTGAGCTTGTCGCAGAGGTTGATGGGCTGGTCGTCGGTGGAGGCAGTGAAGTCCATGGGGGCTGCGGTGCCATTCCCATTCATTTCGGGGAAGGCGCTGTCGCCCTGCGTGCTACTGGAGGTGGAGGGGTTCAGGGTGGAGGAGCCATTCCCGCTGCAGCTCTCTGACGAGGAGTCATCTGCAAAGAGGGGTGTGCGGTCACCTCCAAGGTCACCCTTCACCCACCTCGTGGAGAGAAGCCCATGGCCCGGGTGCAAAGGTTGCAGGGTCCAGCTTGGGGCCATCACAGGCAGCAGCCCGAGGGCCAGGCACTGCTGTTGTGACTGCTGGGCCATGTTTGCAGAGCTCCGCTGCCACGCTCTGAGCTGCTGGACACCGCCGTGTCCTGCACCCATCCACAGCGTGTCCGTCCGTCCATCCATCCATCCATCTGTCCCTCCATCCCTCTGCAGATGACGATCCCACTGCCCACGCCTCTGCCTGGGGCCTGCGGCACCTTGGCTTGAATAAGAACTTTGGAATTTGGTCCTTTTAGGTTTCTGTTTACATTGCAGGGAGGAGAAAGGGGCATTTCCTCTCCCTGCATGAATCCCTTGTCTCCAATGGCTTTAACGAGAGCAGCACCTGGCACAGAGTCTGGCCAGAACAGAGGTGACGAAGTGCAGCTCACAGAGGCTCGAGGAGGGCTGGAGTGGAGCAGCGGGGCTGGGGACCTGCCTGGGGACTCTGGTGTGGGCCTGCAGAGCCCTCATCTGGTCTGGGAAGGGGACAGGGACTTGCACAGACACCTGACCTGTCCCAGCTCACTGCAGCCCCACTGACCTTGTCTGCCCTATGTGGATGATCTCTTTTCCTGCCTACTTCCACGTGTCCCTGAGCTATCCATATGGCAGCAGTGCCAACCATACTGCCCATCACAGTGCAGAAGGATGCTGGGTCCCTCCAGGGCACTTTTGTCCCCTCCTCCTCCACTCTCCCCCTGCCCTCCCAAATGCCCTTTTCCCACTACTGCTGCTCTGAAGGCAAAACTCTCCTCACAGCCACAGCCTCCCTGCACTGCCCCACTGCCCAAGCAGACACATCACCACACCCTGGCAGAGCAGCACACCATTCCCTTTCCCAGCACACAGCAGTGCTTTCTCTTTCTCCTTTCCATTCACACACCCAGGTCCCTGACTGTCCCCAGGCTCCTGTTTGTGCTGCTCTGCCTGACTGCAGCAGAGCCCATCCCCATCCCTACCTTCATCCCCATCCCCATCTCCATTTCCATCCCCATTCCCATATCAACAACCGCCCCACGCACACTGGGGAGCCCAGCCCCAGCACTACATCTTCAGTCCCCGCTCAGCCCCTTCCCCTGCCCTCCCCCTCACTGCAGTAAATCCTTTATTTCATTAGGTGCCTCCGCGAGAGGGAAAGGGCGAAGCACGTGGGGAGCTGCTTCCTGTGCAAGTGTGTGCTGCAAACAAAGAAGCTGCAGCCACTGACAAGCAGATGGCGGTCCCTGGTCCCTGGTCCCCGGCCCCTGGTCTGTGATCCGCAGGCCCCCTACTCCCTGGCCACCAGAGCTGGGGTCGGGCTGTGGGGCGGCACCAGCACCGTGCCACCAGCTCCAGGCACACGGGTGCCAGGTCCAAAGGTGCACAGGCGCGGGGTGCGGGACGGTGCCCAGCTGCTGCCACCCTCCTCCTCCTCCTTCCTCCGCCGGCATCTGCAGAGAACTTTAATGAGGGCTGTGGCAAACTTTCCTGTGACCCCTGCGGAGGCTGCAGCAGTGCAGGACTTTGTATCCCTTAAAATAAACAGATTGAGGACGCTCTGGCATCTGAGCAGCCCGCGGGGGCCGTGCCTGTCCTGAACCACCCCAGCACAGGAATGGGCGCTCCCTGTTCCGAGGCGGCTCCATTCCCCATGAGCCCCAGAACTGGAACACCCCCACAGAGCCTGCAGAGCTCCCTTCTGTCCTCCCCCCTGCACTGACCCACTTACTGCTCTGGGTGCAGGCAGGAGCCCCAGCTGCCAGCTGAGGCCAGCGTTGGCTCTGCACCTGAGCACCCTCCATGTCCCCGTCCCTGTGCCGGTCTCTGCCCCATGCACAGCTGCCTGCAGGGGCTGGAGGCATGGAGGATGTCTGAGGGCCCTGCCCTGCAGCCAGCAGCCCAGCCCACCCCGCTCAGCTCCCCAGCCTCTGTTCCATGCATGCCCTGCGCTGGCATGTGGGCTTGCAGCCAAACCCGCCAGCAAGGCTGGGGCTGGGCTCTGGGTGCAGGCTCCATGCTGATTCGGAGCAGGTGGAGTGGTACTACATTCAGTGGGGGCTGAGCCTCGTCCCTCCCCCTGCTCTGCTCTCAGAGGGAGTCTCTGGCCTCATCCAGCGATGCCTCTGGGAGGATTAGGGAGCATTATTCCTCTGCATGGAGGCATGAGCTGCGTGCCATGCCCCGCCGCCAGCCCAGGCACGGCCACAGCAACAGCTCATGGCCAATCAGGGCCGCCCTGCAGCTATCAGAGCGACCTGCTGGCAGTCCTCAGGGGGCAGACAGCCCCAGCACTGTGCCTGGCACGCAGCGGGGCCCCCATCACAAGAATCCCACTGTGCCAAAGCACTGAGATGTGGCACCGGGGACAGGAGTTTGCAGAGCCCTGAGAATCCTCAGCCTGACCTGAGCATCCCTGCTCTGCCCTCGGCATCCTCAAATCGCCCAGGCAACCCTACATTGTCCAGGTATCCCTTACTGGGCCAAGCAATCCCACATTGCCCCAGCACCCCCTACTGCCCTGGGCACCCTGCCCACCCCTGCAGCCTTCCCATGGCCCCCAGCTGTGCCGCAGCTCCTGCAGCTCCTGTGTACCAACTGCAAGAACACTGTAGTGTAAAACAAGGCTGAATGTAAGTGAACCCTCCGCTCCTGATCTTTTTCTTATTTCTACACTTATACGGGTTACGCTTTCCCAGAAGATCTGCATATAGAGTGGTGGATTAATCTGCCTTGTGGGCAGAGGAATGGCCGCAAATCCAGATTGCTGAGGACCCTGGATCAGAGCAGGAATGGCTTCAGCCAGCTTAAGAACAGGGATGCCCTCGAGAGGCAGCACAGGGGCAGATCCGTGGGATCGGGACCGCGCTTGGGTTCCTTCTCAGCTGCCACAGCCTGGCCCCAACCCGTCCTCACACCCTGCAACAGGGACGTATGGCCACGACACCGCGGCCATGGCACCCCGAGCCACATCATGCAGAACCCCTGACATCTGGGAGGTCTTCTGCAAACCCCCAGCAAGCGCCCAAAGCACACAAATAAATAGCAGGGCACCGCGAGCAGCGGTAGAGCAGAGCCAGGCTGCACAGCCATGAATATATTCATTATCAACCAGCACGAGCCTCGTGAGCTCCCTGCTCACGGCTGGAGTTTGGCTGAGCGAGGAGCCCCTCTAATGAGGATAATTGGAAGCCCCCCTGCTTCACCCCCACGCCCTAATTGAAGCAGATGGATCTGTAAAAACAATGTCACTTGGAGACGTTTTGATCTTTCGGTTGGGAAGCAAAATATTTCATTCCCCTCTTGGACTCAGCAGAGCTGGGCTGAGGGCCGAGGGCAGCCCAGGAGTGGGGTGTGTGGCACGGGGCAACACCACGAGAGCAGGGGATGGGGACACAGCCTGGAGTCTATTGTGGCCTCTGTCCCCTCCCCGGCTGCGCCAATCCCGGGGAAGCGAGAAGCAAAATGGCTTCTTGGGTAGCGGTGATGGGGGAGGAGGGATCAGTCACTTATTAAATGAATTAATCAGGGCTCAGCGTTTTCATTTTGAAGAGGCTGCTGGATTATCCTTGATTTCTGTGACACTGGATTTGCAGAGATCAGGAGGGGAAGGGGAGATTTCCAACACCTGCTCCCCGGGAGATTTTACGGCAGGGAAGTGGTTGGGTTTAACATCTATGTCAGCGAGGGCCACCACGCCGCTGTCCAAAGGCAGAATTAAAGATGAATGGGGCAAATTGTTCCTCCTCCTGTCACATCTCCAGAGCCAGGACAAAACCTCTTTTGACTCGGAAAACAATGAGCTTATGTAAGAGCCAGCAGCCCACGGAAACCTCGCCGCAGCCCCGCGCTGCCACGGCCGGGCAGGGGCCGCCGAGCCCTGGGCCAGGATGGGACGGGTATGGAGACAGGGATGGACACGGGGACAGGGCTCAGCCAGGGCTCACTGCCCTCACAGTCAGACCAGAGCACCAGAACTAAGCCGAGGCCACACCGTGTCCCAGCTGTGCCCACAGTGCCCACACGGCCGTGCCTGTGGCCGGTCAGGCTGGAGTGCCCAGCGCTCTGCTGTGGGCTGCAGCTCCGCATCCAGCCTGCAAGCGAGTGTCAGAAGTGTTCAAAGCATCCCGCAGACATCTGAGTGTAACAACAGCCAGGAAGATGAAAAGTGCCATAAATTATTCACTCACAAAAGAGACGAGAAGGGGGAAGGAGGGGAGGAGGAGAGCCTGCGAGGAAGGGACACTTAATACAAATTAGAGAGACCAGGTGGGGATGGCTCCTGGTGGAGGCACACGCAGGCGGCACGCAGGGCCCGGGGGCTGGGGTGCAAAGGGACGCCCGCTCCCTGCAGGTCCCGCCCGGCCCATTTCCTCCATGACACACAAAAAAAGGAAAAAAGGAACACTGATGGGGGATGAGGAGCAGCAGGCCTGGCCCGCCTCCACTGAAGGCGCTGTATTTCCTGCCTCCCTTCGTTCACTCAAACCTCCTTACATCCCAGACGAAGCCTCCATCCTCCTCCCATCCTCCCGGGTCCCAGCCTCCGGCCGCAGTCCCCGACAAGCCGACACCTGGCACAGCCGGGCACAATGCTCTGCTGGGACAAGGCAGTGCTGTGCACCCAGCCCCCCCGGCCCGGCGGTACCCCCTGGTGCCATCTCCTGCCATCAGAGCGAGCGGCACGCGGCCGCACAGCACGGGGCACGGCCATGGGCATCTTCCCTGGCACAGCTGCAGGCGTTTGGCTTGGCCTCGTCCTGCCTGCAGCACCAAGGTGTTGGGGTGGTGGGAATCGATCGGGAGCCCTTCTCTCAGCCAAGAGAGCCAACAGAAGCCGTGTGATGATTTGGTGCTGGGACCCCCACAGTTCCTGAGACGACCTCAAAGTATGCCATGCGCACGTCCCTGTGGCTCCTCCTGGCCCTCAGGAGGTGTCCTGGACAAGGGGCAGCCTGACGAGCGTGCCTTCATCATTAAGTAGGTTAAGAAAGTCCTTTCTCCAAGGTCTGGATTAGCGGCTGCAGCGGATCCAGGCAGACCGGGATCAGCGGGGACACAGCATGGAGGACAGGCACAGGAATCTTGCTGGGAGTGACCCGACCCTGAGCCATGGGAAGGCAGCCCCGAGCCCAGCTGCTGCGGCTCCATGTGAAGCCATCTTGGGGCTGGCAATGCCCAATGGCACATTGGGGATGGGGTCAGTTTGATGCCACGGATTTTGGGGTGTTTTGCTCTGAATGTGTGCTGGATCCTACAGACGCATCCCCCCAGGATGTCCTCCTGCACAATGGCTCAGCTTCAGCAGCAGAAAGTTTGTGTTGATCTTGCTGCTGCTCTGGGTATCCACTGGCTTCCTGCGGGGCACAAACGCTGTGAGTAACATCCTATAGGGAAGGGATGTTGCAGGGAGCTTCACATTTTCCGTGCTGGGGCCCGCAGGATGAGTAACAAAGGAAAATGGAAGAAGCAAGCGTGCGCCTGTGTCAGCGTTGCTGCTTGGGGATGGATTCTTTGTCCCTGCATCCTTCCACGTGTCCCTGCATCCCTGCATCCTGCTGTGCATCCTTGCATCCTGCTGTGTCCCAGTGTCCCTCCGTGCATCTGTGTGTCCTTGTGTCCTGCAAAGATCTCTCCATCCTGCAATGCACCCATGGATCTTGCAATGTGTCCCCACTGCCCTGCAGCCTGCAGTGACACCAAGCCAACACGAGCCCCATCTCTGCTGCAGACGTCCTCCCAGCAGTGCCTCCTGCAGACGTCCTCCCAGCAGTGCCTCCTGCTGTCCCTCACCTCCTGCAGCCAACAGTTCTCATTTGCACCCTGTGCTGTTTCACGTTCCAGAGGCTGACGCTGTTTGCAGCATGGTTACATGGGGCCAAGGTTTATGGGCACAGAGACAAAATGAGGTGCTGGCTTCCATCTGAGCTGCTTTTCAGCTCGCTGAAGATACAGCAGATACCTGTGCTTCAAAGCATGGGACAACGGCTTCCTGCTCTCCCACCTTTCTGTTCCATGCTGCTGTGCTCATGTGTCATATGAGAACACTCACCCCTTGCAGCCCCCTGGAAGACATGCAGTTGTGCTTCAGCACTTCAAACAGGACTTCTTTTAACCACGCGTGTCAGATGATACCGCTGTCCAAACAGGCACCTCTTCATTACAAGTCTGCCTCTTAGGAAGCCCGTCACAGAAAATACGCTCTAGGCATCCTTCCCATTAAACAACAGTGGATGGGAGCAGCTCAGAGAAGGATTTGCAGAGGATGGAGACCAGGACACCGAGTGGAGCCCTCATGCCGCCCTGCTTGTGCCCTCTGTGGTGCAGTCCACAAGTTTCAGTCCCTGCCATCTGTCTTTTTAGGAGTCTTCCCTGGGATAGCCTTTGTGAGTTGGCACAAACAAGGCAAAACACGTTTGCTGAAGCCCCACAGCAGGGTGGGTTAAATGAAGAGACCACCAGAGGCCTCGCACCCCTGCACTGCCCTGAGCTCACAGCTCCAGTGCTGGGTACACAGCAGTGATGGGGCTGGGCTCCTTGTCCCACAGCCCCTGAAACAGAGCAGTCTGATGGAAATCCCAGTGCTGGGCTTCTCCTGGGGGAGTTCTGTTACTAACACCCAACTCAGCTTGCTCTCTCTTTGATTCCTCTCATTTTGCTCTGTCAGCTGCAACTTCACGTGCACTCCTCACCAAAACGAAGGAGCTGTTTGTACTTTGTTACTCACTGCTGAGCCTTACAAAAGAAACTGAAAGAGCCAAGAAGGGCCCCAAAGAGGACACCTGCCTCCAAACAAAAATCACAGGGCACAAAAAATTGGACGCATTTCCTAAGAGGGCAGAGAGAGGGAGAGAGGACTTAGCTTGAGTGAGAACATCTTGATTTGCTTAAATACGTGAGTCCCTTATTAAATTATTGTCGTGTAGAATAATAGTGTTGAGTGAAAGGATCCAATCCATGTCATTCTAGATTGTAAACAAGACTTGGGAATTCATCAGTGAGAGATAAGCCGCAAGCCTGAAATGTCCTGGCAGGAGAACAGCAAAGTTTGGGGATACAGAGACCTGCCAATGCCACAGCTGGCTCCAAGCTAATGAACGGAGCATCCCTGTCCCACGGCTGCACAAAGCCACCCCTGGGAGATGTTGGGCTGCAGAAGCTCCTCCTTCCTAGGGGTCTCCTGGCCCCTTCTCAGTGCTGCTCCTCACTCCCTGCCCGCTCTCTCCCCCAGCATCTGGGCTGTGGATGAGCACAAGCCAAGGAGCAGCCCAAGCACTGAACCCTTGCAAGCATCACAAAGATGAACTCCGACCTGAGCCCGTACTTCTGCCACTTATTTACTCGAGCAATTTTTTAAACTAGCTTCACAGAAGAAACACAGCACGTCACCTTACCAAAGGCCCCCTCCCTCCCAGCCCACGTATGGGTTCCAGCCACCTGCCCAAAGCAATGAGACACCTCACGTCCGTTCCATGATCCCAGTGCATTTTTCTCACGTGCTGCCTCAGGTGCAGCTTTTTGAGCACGGATCCTCTTGCAAGAGGCTGCTCTCCTTCCAGTGGCAAGGAGCCATGGGGCTCTCTGGGCTGCTCCTGGGGACCCCAATCCACTGCCCTCTCAGGACCTGGGGGGCTGTGACCGTGTCCCCCATGAGAACCCTCAGCCCAGAGCTGGGCAGGGCCTGGCCACCGGCAGCCTGCAGGCTGACCAGGAAGGCTTCGAAGCCCGTGCTGATATGAAATCCATCCTACAGGTGGGACACCCGATCAGAAGGGACTGGTTAATGTTTAATGAGCCACAAAAACACCCCGAGCACAAGGCGCCGCGCTCTTCCCGTGGCTGCAGGCACTCACCATCCTCCTGGCCGTGAAGGTTCTGCGGGCTGCGCATGCTCTCGTCCTGGCTGGGGCTCAGGCTGGAGTTCAGGTGCTGGTCAGCTGAGATCCATGTGGAGTCATTCATATCAAAGTCCTCGCTGCTCACCGATGTCTCATCCTGAAGGCAAGCAGGAAATGGTTAAGGCACAGGGCTCTCTTCCTCCCTCCATCCTCTCGCTCTGCCATCTCCCCACCGCAGCCTTCCCCAGGACACGCAGCTCCTGCAGCCCAGGAGCCCGCGAGCAGCCCGGGTGAGGTGGCTCCCAGGAGAACGCCCCAGCGCCGCTTCCTGCCTGAAGACGTGCCTGAGCAATGGCACTGTCTCTAATTGAGGACAATTAGAAAGAGCTCGCATCCTGTAGGAGCGGATGGCTGAGCCCTGGAGTTTACCCTTTAATCTCCATCCACACTAGCGTGTTTCTGGCAAGTGAGCGGCACGTGGGAGTGGAGATAGGGCGCAGCTCCGCTCAAACGGCCCTACAAACAGTTCAGACCCTTCTAAGACCAAACCACCTCCTGCATCAAGGGAACGCTGACGGAGCTGCGCTGCTGGGGAGCAAATGGGGATGATGAGATCAGATCCCACAGACTCCAACTGCCCGGCGCTACAGGAAGGCCCCATGGAAGGGGCTGGGGTCAGCTCTGGGGTCTGGGGCTGCCCACGCCGTGCTGCCATAGGGGCTGCCAGTGCGGCAGCTGCGCTCATCCTATGCCGGGGGGGCACCGAGCGGGGCAATGGAGCCCAGGCAGCCCCAGGGCCCCGCAGCATAGATTGCATTCCTCTCTCCCACTCCTGCAGCTGGAAGGACATTTTCTCTCTGCCTCTCTCTCCCTTCCCACTAACCTTTAGAGCACTTTGAGACACAGCCCTTGGATCGCTTCCAGAGCCGGAAAGGTCAGCCGCAGGATTTCAAAACCACCACCGGCGAGGCCGGGATCCTGAATGAGAGGAGGGGCCCGGTGCTCCCCTCACCCCCCCCCAGCTCCCGCTCTGCAGGAAGCAGATGCTGCCCCAAATTAACACGGTCCCGTCGGCGGTCCCTTTATCTGCCTTCCTCTCCCTGACCGCTCCCCCAAAATAACGGATAGAGGCCGCATCCAGAACTGCGGGGCGGCGGGGGACACAAAAAAATGCCCTCCAGAAGGGCCTTCAGATGTGCTTTCCTTTGATTGAAGCATTTCTCAGGCTTGTAAATGCTCAGCTTCTTTTCTTTCCTTCCCCTCGTCCTGAGATTACATACACCGCCCGCTCCTTTTCCGTGTGAGGAGCAATTGGCAAGAGCCTCTCCAACGTACGGCTGTGCCTCGTAAAAGCTGCCCTGTCTGGCTGCCTCTGGCTGACAGACTTTATGGTGAATAAACGAACGTCTTTCAGGACAGGTTGGGGCTTTTCCTCCTGTCCCCACACACACATCTGCAGGCCCAGGGCACTGGCGCTCCCCACCTCCCAGGATCTTCCTGGAATTTATGGCTCAGGCACCCATGGCCGAGCTCAAGCAGGGCAGGGGGCACTGGGGAACTGGGAGCATGGGGGGCACCGGGGCACAGCGCTGCCAGCACACCCGGCTGCTACACCAGCCAAGAGCGGTGCTGCCTCCCCACAAATCCCATTGTGCACGCACAGGAGAGGACAGCACAGGTCTCCCCGCCACACACTATATATAGTCTCCATTGCACACAGTCACAGGGAGCCAGCCATCCTAATATCTGGCCTCCTTCACGAGGCTTACCCAAGATTACTGTCAGAGCTTAAGAGACAAATGCAAATGCCAAGGTCCTGGCTGCCCACAGCCTTCACCTGGCAGGTGGGAGCCCCAGGCGGCTTTCCAAAGGGTTTGGCTCAGGCACAACTCCTGCAGAAGGCACAGCCTCAGCACCCAGACCCCGACCCGGAGGCACTCGTGCAGGCTGGAAAATCAGAGGCACGAAAGATGCCTCGCACGCACATGCAGCGGAAAGGGCTTTACAAAAGTGTACCATTCTCTTGAGGTGCAACAACGTCAGCCTATTATTAGAAATACTCAAGCCAGAAACCGTAAATGTGACTCAGGTCAAACACAGATGTTGCACGTTCCCAAGTCCACACTCCAGCCCCCAGCAGGAAACAGGCTGCCAGCGTGGGGCCGGGCCACGCCGTCCCCGTGTCCCCAGTGCCATCTTTTGCTGTGCAGCCAAGGCCATCCTCACCCAAAGTGCCAACAGGACAAACCTCTCCAACAGCGTGTGGGTCTGGAGGCAGAGCCCACCCTGTGCAAGCACGCTGCAGGGGACTGCAACACACAGCTAACACCGCAGGGATGCAGTGGGGGACTCAGCCACCAGAGCAGTCTCTCTGTTTGGCACCAAGCCGTGGGAGCTCCTTGTCCCTCCGTGCCCCTTCCCTGACAACCAAGAGAAGCACTGCTTGCGTCCTGGCACTCCACTGAGCCCCAGCAGCCCCGCTGCCCTGTGCCCACCCCGGCCACCAGCATGCTGCCTCCCTGGGACACCCAGGGGGGGACACATAGCAGAGCTCTGGGACACCTGGCACTGCCTCCTCTACCAGCAGGACCCTGGGCACGCACAGCCCTGGCTCCGAAGCTACCAATGCAGCAGTGGGATCGAGCACTTGGTCAGATGGGCAGCCCCCAGTTGTCCCCACATGCCGCCAATGGTGCTGAACACCGAACCTCAGCGACCGGGAGAACAAGGAAGAATTTGTGAACAACGGCCACGACTCAGAGCAATACGGTAAATCTAATCTACCCTTCCACCCTCTTTTGGCTTGCAAGTCAGGCAGCTCATTCTTTTTCCTCTCTGGGTTCTCAGGAGAATTCTCTCTGCTAATTTCTTCTTTCCTGTAAACAAACTTCAAATGAAACTTTCATTAGAAAACAGAGCACAATCCATTACCATCGCCTGTCTCACGACCGGCCCCAGCCCCACGCCACGCGTGGCACAGAGGGAGGTGGCAGTGCCCACCCTGTGCCTCCAGCCCGGGGCCCCGCAGCCGCTGCGTGCTTCCTTCCTGCCGTCCCCAGCTCTGCACGGGGATCTCCCCAGCCTGCAGCCAGGTCCCATCGCTTTGTTTCCAGCGACGAAGGCACCGAGCGATCAAGGGTCAGGCAGCGTGCGTGCAGCTCTTCTGCTAAAGGGAAGTCAGATCCTGCGGGTGCGCTCACAAACCACACCCAAAAGCCAGGGCTGCAGGCACCGCCGGGTTTGGAAAAACAACGTCCTCGCTCCTCTTCTTATCTACAGTCCAATATTCACAGCTGCTTTACAGACGCTCACAGCCAATGTTTTTGTACTGGCAAAGGCAGGCGCTCACATGTGCAGAGTGAACGCTTGGTGTTTTGTCCCACCAAGCACCACGCATCTTCAAGAGCCGTCTGCACGCATCTCTGCCCAACCCCTCAGCTCCCCTCCAAACTGGGAAGCTCTTCTCCCAGCCACAGAGCTCTCTGCCCATCCCACACACAGCGGCTCCAGCAATGGGACGCGGGCTGTGCGGTTCACCTGCAGCAGGGCAGCTCCCACAGCACTGCTGGGCAAGCATGGGGCAGGAGAGCTGCTCCAGTGACCACACCTCAGCCATGCATGCAGGGCTATCGGTAACCTGCTTACTTTACAGCTTGGCTCAATTTCTCAGCGACTGCCTTGCAAACATCTCTCCCATCACTGACACTCTGTGCCTTACGCTACGTATTCCAGGCTCCACTTGTCAGCACAGTTTATTTTCTCTTCTCTTTCTGAAGTCTTTTATTTGAAAACACACCCTGTCACACCACAGCCGGACTTTCCTGGTGCAGCGGAACAGGAGCTGAGCAGTGTGTATCCCTCAGCAGCAGCGACGCTTTAGGGGCAACAAAGATGATGCACAACCCAGGGATCCCAGGCACAGCAGCTCATGCTGGAAGGAGCCATTGGTAAACAGCCACTGGGAAGGAGTCATTGGGACAGAGCCATTAGAGAGAGGCCAGTAGGAAGGTGGCCTCGTCTTCATCTCAGCCACTGTTTAAACCCAGCCCTCTGAACATGCCAAGAAGGTACTGAACCAGATTTGACCCTAACTTAACCAGATCAGCACAGAGAAAGGCTTACTAATTGAAGATAAACGCTCCTGGTCAAGGATTGGTACCACAGCCATGATGAGCACAGTGCTTGCTGCTCTGGGAATCGCTCGGTGTGAGGGAACACGGCTGAGGGGCAGCGATCTGTGACCACCAATGTACACACCAACCAAACATCCCGGGCACTCTTTGTCAAGTACGTACATCCTCACTGACTGACATTTCTGCTGATTTGAACGAGCACTTTGCTACTTCCCAAAACACTGGCTGGAAGAGTTAATCTGCAACGTGAACAACAAATGGAAGAGGAAGGGAGGACCATCACCTCTGCGCACACACACACACACACACACACATCTGAGCTCCCTTCCTCCGGGCGCATCACCCACCGAACGCACGGGCAGGGCGGGGGTCGCGGGCTCTCCCGGCTCCTGCTGTTCAGCGGGGAGGTGCTGAACGTGGGGCCGGGCGCGGGAGGGAGAAGAGAGCAGAGCGTCCGCGGGGCTCTGCCCCTGCTCTGCCCCTGCCCTTACCTTGCCCTGCCCCTACCCGCTCCCTGCCCCGCACGCCCGCCGCACCGAGCTCTCCCCACGCCGAACACGCGTTCGCTTTGCATGCCGGTCGACGCTTCCGCCGCGGTGCCGGCCAGCAACCGGGTCCGGCGGGCACTGGCGGACAGCGGCCGCCGGCAGCGGGACGCGGCCCCGCCACTTCAGCGCGGGACCCGGGGCCGCGAGGAGCGGCTCCCCGCGTTCTCCCGGCCCGGCCCGGTCCCGCCGCCCTCCGCCCGATGCTCCCGGCCGCTCCCGGCGCAAATCCTCCGCCGGCCCCGCGCACGGCCCCGCCGCTGGCAGCCGGGCTTCGCCGTGCGGCGGGGATTGACACGTAAGTAGGGCTTTACCTCGAGGGAGGAAGCTATTTCCAGCGCAATCCCCGCCCGGGGCCGGTGCCGGGGCCGGGGGAGCGACGCGGCGATGGCGGCGTCGGCGCGGGGCCGGTGCCCGGGAATTAATGGGGCCGGAGCGCTCCCGCCGCCGCCTCCTCCCACTTTCTTGTGGGCTTTTGTGCTCTTCCGGGGAAGGGGGAGCCGCGCCGGGCGCGGGGAAGGACGCGCTAACCTTAACCCTTCCCGCAGCCCCGCCGAGCCGCAACTTCCCGGGGAAGCGGCCGCTCCCTCCCCCCGCCGGCGGCCCCGGAGTTGGGGAACGGCCCCCGCCCCGCACCGCCCCGCACCGCCCCGCCGCCCCCGCGCATCCCCCGCACCGCCGCCCCCACCGGAGCCGCAGCCGGAGCCTACCTGGAGCGGGGCCCGGGCCCTGCCGGCTTGCGCCAGCCCGGCGGCGCGGCTCGGAGAGCGGGGCGGGGAGCGGCGAAGGGACGGAGGGACGGAAGGGACGGAGGGAGGGGGCCCGGGCTGGCGGCGCTCCGGAGAGGCTGACAACCAGCTGCTGCCCGGGGAGAGGGGCCGGCGCTGCGGAGCGCG